TGGGCACTGGGCAAGGCTCCCACGCACAGAACCAGTGCATTTATGAACCAGTGCCCTAGAAACCACGCTTCCACCAGGCGCCCGTCCGAGACGCTGTGTGGCCACTCAGCCAACAGCAGTAGAACCAAGAGAAAAGCGTCAGAATTACTTGAGACAGCAAAGCAGGATCCCCGCTGTGGCTCTGGACTGTTTTATTTATTTGCAACAGCGAGGGTCGGTGATTACACTTCCCACAGGTGGGACAGAATGGACGCACGTGCCTTCTAAGGGGGCATCAGCGTGACGCTAGCGGAGGGGAGCGCCCCCTCGGCCCCGCGCAGAAGCTCACAGGGAGGTCGGGGCGGCTCGAAGGCGACTCGCTTCTGGGACTCCTTGCCTGGGAGCTTGATGCCAAGACCTGTGGGGGAAGCGCCAGGAGAAGCCACGGTGGGCTTGAGCGCGTTGGGGTCACGGAGGTGACGCGGTGAAGGTGGGAGTTCGGGGGAAGGTCAGGGTGTTTGCACAGATTTCACCCGAGGTGTCCGCTCTGCTCCGCTGAACGCTCCATGGGGACAACGTGGTGTCTGCGGGGGACGTTTCCCCTCCCGCGCCCTGTAACACAGGAGGCCTGCGGACCCGGCCTCCAGCCCACGCTGACCGGGCATTCTACACGGAGATCAGCAAGGCGGTCCAGCCTGCAGAGGTTCTCATTTTGAAAGAGTATCAGGCACCTGGTGGACACAAGGGATTTCCACCGTAACTAATGTCCCGCTAGAAGCTGGAGGGCAGTAAGGCCGAATCGAGCCAGAAGGCACAAAGGGCTACTGCCGGCGTGGAGCACAGACTGGGCCTCACGGCAAATGTCAGTGAGCGCCACCCAGCGGCCACCACTGGGACGCTGGAGCAGCACCTTTCCACCTGAGAGACAGCCAGCCTGCTCCAGGGCTTGGATGAGAACGAGGCTGTGACCCCGGGTCACAGAGTAATCCTGAAACCTGCAACACTCAGGGCAGCTTAAGTGACGCCCAAGAAACTGCCCGTGGGGAGGTCGGTGACGGGAGAGCTCCAGGACCAGATGGACGTTTATTTCCTTGTTTACGCAGTCGCGTGCCACCAGGGGACGCCAGTAGGAGCCTCTTATCCCTTGGCACTGACCTGGGACTGTCCCGTGACCGCGGGGACAGTGTCCTAGAAGCAGGCCTCGATGGGCAGAGGGCTGCCCGGCTTGTGGACGGCAGTCCCAAGGGGAGTGTGCAGCGTCCTGCTCGGATGGTCACCGTCTGATGGAAGAAGGTGAAAACAAATCAGCTCAGAGGGCTGAGCTGCAGGCTGTCTGCCTCGATGCTGGGCTTTCACTGACTCGTGGGTGCGGCCAGTGGCCAGGCTGTATGACCAGCAGGCTAGTCAGTGGAACACTCCCCTACTAAGGAGATGGTCTCATGCAAACCACTGTGGAAATCTGAGGGGGATATTAAACTGGGAACTTCTGATGCCCATCAGAAGTCCCTTCCAGGGTCAGAGGGTGACTGGAGTTGGCAAACGGCTAACCTGGTGACCTGGGCCCATGACATGAGTGGATGGGGTGCTGCAACTTTGCAGAGATGGACTGAACCTGGACGTGGTCTTCCTGCACCTGCTGAGGCATTGAATGCCGACAAGAGCTGTTGTGTGCATCAGCAGGAGCACCGGAGACGGCAGACGGCTGGGGGCAGAGGCCCCGGCAAGGCCCCGCACTGGGCTGACGGGTCAGACCGATGCCCCGTAGACCCGGAGGCTACAAACAGGTCCCGACAGGCCGGCCAACTCTGGCCGGGGCTGCCGATGCAGCGGTAGATGTGGGTGCTCAGAGTGCCATGGAAGAGCTGGGACGGGAGGTCTGCCCCGGCTTGGTGACCGAGTTACGCTCCTTCAGACCCGAGAAGACACTTCCGTCTTCAGAGTGACGGCTGGCCAGAGCGCTGGAAGAGGCGGGTGAAACACCGTTTGTCTGGACCATGGCAAGATTGGGCGTGAAGGGCCGGTGTGTGTTCACTCTCCACACGAGTGGCTGCAGGCAGCTCCCTCTGTCCTTCTGGGGACCCAGGAAGAGGGTGGGGGAGAAGCTCGGACAACTACACTCGGCTAGAAGGCTCTGTATCCATGGAAACGGGGAAGGATTCCAGGGCCTGCACAGCTTGGCGCAGGCGCATTGATGACTGCTGCCTCTTGGCGCATTAACCCCTTTATCACTGTGCAGGGTCTCGCGCTGCCGGCGATGTCTCGGCTCAGAGTCCGCGTCCGCTCCGAATGCGGCCACTCGGACCTCAGGGTCCGCGTGCTGTCTCTTCCCCGTCCGCTCACTTCCAGCCCGTGTGAAGGTCGCTGAAGGGCGCTTCTCGGCGGCGGCCTGGTCAGCGCCTCCCGGCCATCCTGCCGGCTCTTGCCCCTGGCGGGTCTGACCCGCTTGCGTTTCACGTGGGCACTGATAGGAAGAGGCCTTGCTCTGCTGTTTCATTTTTTATGGACTGCTCTTTCCTTCTGTTTTTGTTTCAGGGCTTATTTCTAGAATAGCGCTGAATTTAGAGACAGACCGAGAAGACAGTCCAAACGGCCCGGCGCTTCTGATACGATCACCGGACCAGAGCTGGTTGTCCTGACTGCCTCGTGCCACAGTTCACTCGTGCAGTCTCGTTTCAGCTAATGTGCTGCCCAGGGGTCACGCCGAACGGCCCTGACCCCGGCGCTTCCTACTGTGACGGACGCTCAGGCCTCCCCTGTTTCCGACGCCCGTGACGCTTCTGAGCAGGGCAGCAGGGCTGGGCGTGTATTCTGCAGGCTGTGCCCCTAGGCGGGTTCATCCAACCCGTCTCCCCTCTTGGCCCGGGGTCACGGGTTCCGGGGGCGGGGGACCGCCGAGGGCAAGGCCACTCTCGGTCAGCACGATGGAGCCCTTCGGCCTGGACCCTGATCGCCCGCCTCGGGGAGCGTCCGGCAGAGCAGAGCGCCTGCGCAGACATGGGGCTCTTCACTCCGGACTCTCTTCTACGCTGTCAGCATATTCATGCGGTAACCTGTGGGCATCGGCGTGGGTGCGTGGAGACTGAGTTTATGCTTTGAGCTACTGACTCAGTCTATTGTTTTTGTCCAAACTGCTCCAGGCGTGGCCCCTGGGGAGCTCTTTCTGTGGGTCCTGTGTCCCTCTGACGTGCTCCCGCCCATGTGGGTGTTTCAGGGGGCGCTTCCCAGCTTTCTGGCCCTGCAAGGTGCGCCAGGCTGTCTCGTACGTTCCCAGCCCCCATCCTAGAGTCAGCCGTCTCTCCGAGAAGCCCTCTGACTGGAGGGTGGTTTTAGAAGCCCGGCGCCAGGAGCCAGGCGAGCTGTTGCCTCTGGGGTGGGGTTTCTTGGGGGCCCTCTCTGTGGATACAGGAGTCCTCTCAAAGGACCCCTCCCTCACTGCAGACTGGATGGGTGGGGGTGTACTGGAGAGGGGAAGGGGCAGCAGGCCAGAGACGGACAGCCCTTTCTGGAGCCGACCTGGACGTCCAGCCTGGCGTCTGGAGTGCAGGGAACCACAGGTGAGTGCAGGGCAGCCCTGCTCGGCCCACCCCCAGGCCCCCAGAGCCCCCCAAACACCACCCTGATCACTTCCTGCCTCCAAAGGGGCAGGTTAGCCCACTGGAGCGGGTGGGGGAGTGGATGGGGCAAAGAAAGTCCCAGGGCTGTGCCCGGAGGCCTCAGCAGAGGGCAGCCCCTCTCCACCTGTAGCCAGGTGGCAGTCAACGCCACCGCCCTCGGCAGGCTCTCCTGTCTCCGGCATCTACGCCCCGCAGGCCCCAGCAGGCACCCGTGCTGCGGCCCATGCCTGGGGGGCTCCCCAGGAGAAGCAGGGCACTCCCTAAGGCCTTCTTCCACTGCCCACTGGACCTTCTGGCCTCCCAAAGGTCTCTCTCCTATCGTGCCCTCCCTGGAGGCCCTGGGCTGGGGGGGCACCGCGTGATCAGCCAGTCTCCCCCCCACCCCCGGCACAGGGCAAAGGCCCTCGAGCACGTCAGCGGACCTGATCCCTAAGCGGCACAGGCACAGGGTGAGGCTGTGACCAGCACCTGTCAGGACGGTGAGCAGTGCCGCTCCTCTGTCACAGAAGCAGATGTCCAGGCCGCTCAGTCACGTCAGAACAGGTGCCTGCGGAGGGCCAGGGAGCCTGGGCCCAGACCCCAAGGAACTAAGTCCCCCTAGGCCGACCAGCCGCTGGAGGGCCCTCCTGGGGGCTCTGCCCGGAGCCGCGTGTGTGAACACGTGTGTGAGCGCACGGGCACGCACCTCTGTGCTTGCTCATCCTGCCTCTTCTGTGACTGGCGTCCTGGAGTCCGAGCCGGCGGACAGCCCACTCCCGGGACGGGCCCCAGGCGGTGCCCCGCCCCCATCCCTGCGCGTCTTGTGAAGTAAAATTGGAGCAGAGGCCTTGTTCGATTTGGGCTGCACGTGCTTGGCAGAAGGACTTCAGAGGTGACAGGCTTTCCGGAGAGCTGCCCCGGGCCGGAACGGGCCTCTGTCCTGTTTCGGCGCAGCCGCCCCAGAGGCCTTGCAGTACCATGAACGGGCACCAGGGGGAGCACGAGATTCCGGAAAAGAGCCCAGCCCCTCTCCCTCTCGTGCACGATCCCCGAAAAGTGCCTCTTCCAAAAATGGTCTCAGGGGCCCCTTGAATGCGAGCCAGCCGACTGGCGAGGGCCTCGCCCTGCACAAAGCCAGTCTGTAAAGACGGAGAGGTGGCGATTTTTTAACAATTCTTTTTTTTTATTGACGTGTAGCCGATTTACAGTGGTATTTTCAGGTGTACGGCAAAGTGATGCAGTTGTACACACACATGTATTTTTTCAAATTCTTTTCCATTCCAGTGAACGACTGAGTGTAGTTCCCTGTGCTACAGCGCAGGTGGGTGGCTGGTTCTGAAACGCATGAACTTCAGCAAAAGAATTCACAGGTTTTCCTCTCGGCGCGTGGGGAGCCCTTTAATCAGAGGGGTCCTGCGTCGCCAGCTCCTCCCACTGCCCTGCTCCTCCACACGGGTTTCCTCGCCTTTTTTCAAACAGGATTTGCTTGCCATCCTGTTCATGCCCACATCCTGGTTGCGTGTCCTGAATTGAAATTCTTTGCTGCGGCCAGAGAGACCACTTTGCTGGTAAATAACTGGCTGATTGTTTTATGTGAACACAGTGTGAACTTGGTGTGAAAACTTGGTGTGATTTTTATATAACACAATAAGTCACACTTTATTAATGAGAGGTCTTGATTGATCGTACGAGTTTCCAGTCTCCCTTTCCTGCGAATTCATTAATTAGGGAATCAAAATTTATACGTTCAGCAACTTCGTTTTCAGCTAGTCTAACTGAAAGCAGAACTGGTCACTCTGGGCAGATGCAGGATTACAGATCGTTTTTGGCAACTTTCCACTTTGAGAAGGATCTTTCTGCTGACGAAACCGTGGCTGGGGCTGTTCGGGGTGTTGGCGGGCTGTGATGACACTGCGATACTTTCTAAGTATTTTGAAAGGTATATTTTAGGACATTTGAGCTGATGACTCCTTCAGAGCAATTTTTTTAAAAAGATTTAACTCTTCATACAAGTGAGTTTTGTGAAAGTCTGAATTTAAATGTAAATCTATAGTGTCATTCTAATATTTCCTGTAACTTGCAGAGATCATGTAAGAAACTGAGTCGTGATTTGCACATCGTTTTCAGGACTTCTTTGCGCATTTATCACTGCATCTTCAATTATACTGAAAAATTAGTTTTTAAGTTACCGTCCATGTCAGTAGTAATTGGTTCATCAAAGCATCATATGAAAGTTTTCTTTTCTGCCTAATGCGGTGTTCCTTAAATTTAATTTTTGTTTCCAAGCCTGTGGATTTTGCTTTGCAATGCTGAAGTTTTCCAAAATCAAAATTCTAAACTCCTAGAATAATTTTAATAACTTGCTGATACGCTTTATTGCAATGTCCACGTATTTGCTTTTCTTGAACTGATTTGCTGATAAAATTGACTGCCCAGGCACCAGCATTCCTGCCCTGGGAGCATTTGTGCGGAGGCTGCAGGGACGTTCTGCGGGGACGGATGTGCTGCCCCCCACCCCCCGGTCCTGGTGCTGCCCAGTGGGGAGCCCCTCTTTCTACCCGGGGTTACGACCTCTCTGACCTTTGCTGCCGCGGAGACCGCCCCGCAGTGCTGGCCGTGGCACATTGCACACAGAGCCCCCTGTGAGAAGTGCTGGTTGGCCGCTTTCCATCATCCTCCGTGTGCACCGTTCTCTCTCTGGAAGCCGCACAGGGCTGGCTCTCAGGCCTGCTCCCACGGAGGCCTTGGGACGCCTGGGCCTGCTCGCCCCTCCCTGGCGGCCACTCCATGGAGGGGAGGAGGAGACTAGGGCTCACACAGGGCGGCCTCACTGCCAGGCTGCACTGGGGGGCAGATTTAAGGGGGCAAAGAGGCGGCCACAGGAAGCGGGGTGGGGAGCCTTCCTTCTCTCCCACCCCCAGGGAGCTGGTGCAGGAAGACACAGCCTCCACATGGCGTCCCCTGGGAAAGGCTGCCCAGGGCCTCCCTGCCAGCCTTGCTCTCTGGATGGGTCTCCAGGAACCCCCAGCCGAGGGGGCTTTGTTCTCTTGGGGAGGAAGATTCCAGATCAGCTCTGGTCTTTGGGGAGAAAATGGCTGGGGCTCCTCTCAGCCTGGCGGGGAGCCCGGGGGTTCTGCAGTGAGGGCCCCAGTGCCTGGCTGTGGGGACCTGCGGGTCTGGGCACTGGCGGATGGTGGGATTGGGTGCCCTGTGTCCAGCCCACTCCCCTGCAGCCTCGGGCTCCAGCCACACCGTTCCAAGCAGGTCTCCAGGTGTGGTGGCCGTTCAGGTCCCCCGGGCTGGGGGTGCTGGGGCGCGTCCAGGCCAGGAGGGCACGTCTGTGGGATGTCCTACCCTTGGGCCTTCTCGGGACCGGGTTGGCTCACCCTGGACCTCCAGCCTGTCCCCCTAGGTCTCAGCTTTGATTCTGACTCCACAAAGAGGAGGCGAGAGAGGCCCTGTGGGAAGATGGAGGCCCAGCCTCCAGGGGGTGCCTGCCTCACCCCGCCTGCCCTCAGACGCCTGTCGGGCCCAGGGAGACGGCAGGGCTTGGGGTGGTTTACTGACAAATGGTTTCTGGGGAGGAAGGGGGTGTGGGTTGGGTCCCCTCTCAGCTCAGGGAGGTCCCGGGATCCAGCCAGGGCCAGGTGCTCACGTGATGCTCACAGGGACCCTCCTGGCCCAGCGGGGGCTTGGCGGCTGCCGCCCACCCGACGCCGCCCGAGCCCCTGCCCCCTGCACCCCTCCGCAGGCCTCTCGGTGTCTCCGGGCCCTTGGGCAGGCTTCGCTCTGGGGATTCGGTACTTGTTCTTCTGACTGTAGAACAGGTTCCTCTGGAAGAGGCGTGGGAGGCGGCCGTGATGCAGCAGCACAGCCAGGACCATCCCTGCAGGAGGCCGGCGTCAGACCACAGGGCGGGGGCTCACTGCGCCCGGGCCTGGGTGGGGCCCTTACCTGGACCCTGGTCTGGCCCTTCGCGCCACCCCTCCCCTAGCTTACCCCTTGGAGACGGGACAGGCCACGGGAACCGTGTGCGCCTCCAGACTGTGCTCTGGGGACCTGGCCCCGCACCCCGCACAGATGCCCTGAGTCTCGGCCTTTCTTCCCAGGGCTGCCTCCTGAGGGTGACCCGTCACCGATGGGGGTGGCTCTTTTGGGCAGGATGGGTGAGTGTGGGGTGGGGAAGAGCCACATGTGGGCGGGGCCTGGGGCGGGGCCTGGCTGACCTCCTGGTTCTGGCCGGAACTCCTGGAGCGGAGGGCCCCGAATCCCCACCCAGCTGTCCGGGTCACAGGGAAGGTGAGTTTGCCAAGGCAGGAGAGGAAAGCGTGTTTTTTTCACGTTTGATGCAAATCCTTGAAGGAATAAACTCTGGTGTGTGGGCCCCTCTAGCACGCTTGCTTGGCCCTGCAAAGGTCAGTGCAGCCTGGCCAACACTGGCCTCCGTGGGCAGCTCCAGCCACCGTGGCCCAGAGAATGGCCCTGCGCCCACACCCCTCAGCTGCACCTCCTCGAATCCTCCGGCGGACACTGGGCCCACGCTGCTGAGGAGGAGGGCAGGCCCAGAGAGGAGGAGCCATGGCCCAGGGCCGCCAGCACGGGTGCAGGGTGCAAGTCCCACCCAGCGAGCGCCCCTACTTCCTGCCCGGCACCACTGCGGTGCTGCCCCCAGCCTCGTGTCCTCGGGGCACATTCTCCCTGAAGTTCGGGGTAAGATGGTAAATGGAACACATGACTGCTGCTTCCTGGAACTGCTTTGACATGGCTGAAAGATTTTGTAACCGTGTCAGCCCACCAAGGTGGGGAGGGGAGGGGACAGCAGCTGCAAAGCAAGTGGAGGGCACATGCTAACAGCCTGGGTGCAGCAGGCGCCCCCCGCAATGCAGGGAGCCGGGGCGCTGCCGAGTCTCAGTGGGCATGGGCTCACTGGAGATGGGCTCAGCTGGGGCCAGCCTGGGAGGAGGGGAGGGCAAGGCCGCGTGAGAAGTGCTGGGTCCCCAGGCGGGTCCTGCGGGAACAGCCTTGGACGCCGGCCCCACCCCGTCGGGGAGAGGGTGTGTGCACTCAGGACAGCCGAGCCCTGGCGGGGACGCCCCCACCCCCGGGAATGAAGTGGGCTTTGCACACGGGGTGCTCAACCCCCAGCCTCCTCGCCACAGCCCGAAGGCTCCTGAGGGGGTCCAGGGACCCCCAGGAGTGACAGCAGCACAGAGCCGGGCAGTCAGGGACCCTCAGGCTTCAGAGAGAGCGAGCGCCCCTCCAAGCGTGGCTCCCGGACCTAGTGTGCCCGAGCCGTGGGAGGCGAGACGGAATTTACGGACAGTAGCGAGGACGCCGCCTCATCCCAGGGACGCGTGTCGGCCTGGGAGTCCCACCCCCTCGGGCTTGCTTCTCCCCGCACCCCCTTCCTGGGAAGCTGGGCCGTGCTTCCTGCGTGCACCCCGAGTTCCACTGGACCCCAGTTACCCATCTGACAAGGGTGCGGAGAGCTCAGTGGGGTCAAGGGCTGCGACCAGGTGCAGGAGAGGGTGTGACCTCCACCCGGGGCCTCAGACTCCCTGAGGCCAGGGTCCCCGGCTCCACTGCTGTGGCCTGCGGCTAAGGGCACAGGTGCAGGGGAGGGAGGGCCCCAAGGCGGGGGGAGGCCGAGGGGCGCCAGCTTCAGGGAGTCCCAGGGCAGCTCACCCAGGAGCCGCAGGGGACGGCCACTGCCGCGTCCACAGGCCCCTGAGAGGCCTGTCCCTCTTCCTGCCCCACTCGGCCCACTCTCCCCTGTGGCTCCGCAGTCACCAGGCCCAGTGGGTGCCTGGTCAGGAGATCCCGGCTCAGGGTCTGTGGGGGCGCCGTGCAAGGAGCACGGGAGCCGGACACAGGGATCCCCGTGACAGGAACCGTCCGTCTGTCTGCCCAGCACCCTCGGATGGTCTGCGTCTCCCCCACCCCTGCCGCCTTCCTCCCTGGCTCCCGCCCCTCTGTGTGATGCCCAAACCAAGATGAGCCGCTCACATCACCTCGCCCCTCCAGGGTGGTTAGGGAGGGGCACGTGACTCCAGGAGCCTTTCCTACAGGGTCTATCACTGGGGCCAAGGAGGAGCCCCCATGTCTCCGTCACAGAGGGGAGCCCGGGATTGCTCCCCAGCCCTATCCCCGCCCCACAGGACCCACCGTGGGAAGCACTCTGGACACCAGCGGCCCCTAAGTTGACCCCCCCAACGAGCTGGGTCCCACAGGCATGTCCACCCGGGATGCTTCGTGTGTTGTTCCTGTCCCCCATGGGAGCCACCACCCAGGTCTGGCCTTGTCCATCAGTCACCAGGGACTCCCAGAGCCCCAGGGGCCCCTCTGCCCTTACCTGTCAGAGGGCCCAGCCAGTATACCTGGGCGTATTGCACCAAGGTGTGCCCCGAGCAGTGAAAGGTGACCGAGGCAGCCAGGGTGGGGTTGAAGAAGGCGGACGTGAGGGGCCCAGCTGCAGGGGGAGCACAGACAGGCCTCGTCCCGGTCCTGCCTGCAGCCACCTTTCCGACGGGCCCGGCCCACCCCCAAATCCCCGCTGAGGGTCCTGCTGGGCCCAGGCCGGGACTTGGCAGGCTCCTGGCACACAGGCCGGGAGCTCAGCCCATCCTCACCCCCTTGTAGACGGGCACCCCAGGAGGGCTGCTCAGCCAGGCCGAAGGTCACAGGGCCAGGGAGCAGCTGGAGCAGGAGTCTCTCCAGGCACGTCCGACGCCCGTTCCAACCTCTCGCCCTGGGTGACTCGGCTGCCCCAGCACTTTCCTCCCCGCTCCCCCCCGTGGGAGGTTGTCTCTGAGAGACAGAGAGATGAGAGAAGGAGACGCAGAGATGGAGAGAGATGGAGACAGTGAGCGGGGGGGGGGGGCGGGACAGAGAGATGGACGCGGCCTGACAGAGAGACAACAGGACAGAGGACTGGACGGGGCCGGCGAGGGGACATGTGAGGAGCGCCAGTGTCCCTCAGCCCCAGGCCAGGCTGACCACGGCCTGTGGGCAGGGACCTCCCCCGGGCAGGGCCAGGGCAGGCTCTGGGCTTTGGGAAGAACCCAGGGCAGCTTCCACAGGGGTGCAGGGTCCCATGAGAGCTTGGTCAACAGTCCCGGCCCTGGGGCGGATAGACCCCAGACAAAGAGGGGATGGGGGGGTGGGAGGAGCTGCCCTCTGGGGTGATATGTGGGGCCCAGTGGGGAGAGGGTGAGGAAGAAAGAAACAACACGCCTGGGCACTCTAGGAGGGAGTGACCGAGGATGTAGGGACTTCCAGGCCAGAGCCTGGGCCGGGCCCTGAATAATCTGCACCGGCCGCCCCACCTGCCCCAGGTGTAGACCTTCTGGGATGAATAGGAGAGCTGGGGGTACGGACAGACAGAGCCAGGAAGGGCAGCCCTGACAAGGCCCAGGGGTCCCAGCCCAGCACACTGTGTCCAGCCTAGCTGGTCACCATCCCACCAGTGCCTGGGCCGCCCCGAGTCTCTGTGGCCCCTCGGCCAGCATCCCCACCCCTGGGCGTCCAGAGGCGTCAGTGTGCAGGCTGGCCACCCAGAGGCCGGAGACAGGCCGCCAGGTCTCACCTGCACAGGCCATGACGGTGACCAGCAGGGCCACGGCCGGCACCCTGCAGACAGGGAGGGTGTTTCGGAGGTGGAGGAAGGTCAGGTGGAAGAAGAAGGCCCCGGAGCCCTCCACCAGCGCGCCGTGGGGCACGGCCGTGCGCAGGGCCGTGCTGCAGTGCAGGTCCATGAGGTTCTGCAGAACGTGCATGTCACTGAGCTCCCAGGCCCAGAAGAGCCGTGTCAGTGCGCCGGCCGCCTGCATGCCCAGCGCCTGGGCCGCCAGCTTCAGTAGCGTGCTGGGCAGAGAGGCCTCAGCCAGGAGGAACTCCTGCAGGGACACGGTGGGATTGGCCGAGGCCCCGTCCAGGGTGGCCCCGTGCCCCAGGAGGAGCAGGAAGAGCAGGGTCAGCAGCAGATCAGGGCCGAAGCCCCCCGCCCAGGGGCCGATCTCCACCAACACGCGCATCTCCAAGCAGCAGGCCCCCAGCTGGGCCGCACCCGCTGCCTCCCGGGCAAAGTGGTCATAGGCGCCCCTGGGGAGCAGGGCCTTGGACGCCCTCCTGGCCGCCTGGCAGAGGGCGAAGGTAGCAAAGAAGAAGGAGAGGGACACGTTCAGACCAGCCATCGCCCAGAGGTTCCTGGGAGCCGGGCTGAGCCGGGAGCTGAGCTGACGTGTCGGGGGCTGGCCGGCGGCCCCAAGGGCGGCGAGCTGTGGGAGAGTCCACCTGGGCCGCCTGCCACCGTGGGAGCGCCACACCTGTGCCCTGACTGCCAGCCCCACCCCTGCGGCCCAGGAGCCCGACTGGGTGGCGCCTCCCCGATCAGATGGCATTTAACATGGGGGCTTGACAGCCAAGCCTCCGTTCGTCCCACCAGAGACAGTCTTGCTGTGCAGGTGGGCCGAGTCACCTGACGCCTCGTCTCCACCCCTGGCAGGTCCTCTTGTCTGAGTTTCCCTCCCAGCGTCCGTCCCTCCCCTGATCTTTGGAAGCTGAGAGTATGTCTCGAAGTCGGGGAGGGTGTCCTACGATTTTGTTCTCTCCAGTACTGTGCTGGCCCTTCTGTCTCTGGCTGGGGCGTACACATTTCAGACTCAGTTTGTCAGCATCAGACTAGCGTCCTGGCAGTTTGACTGGGGACAGCTTGAGTCTGTAGATCCAACCAGGAAACCTCACATCGTCCAGCAGTGAGTCTGCAGTCGGTGACCGCGGACTGCCTCCCCATTTACTCACCTCTTTGATTCCGTGCATCGGAATCTTGTAGTTTTCTAATAAACATATTCTGCTTGATTTTTACCTACACTTTTACTTCTCTCCTTTTCTGGGGAGACGTTACTATAAATGGTGTTTTTAAAATTTCAGGTTCCAGCTGTTCATCGCGGGTGTGCAGGGAAGCCATCAACGTCCGTGTGTGGACTTCATGTCCTGTGACCTTGCTATAATCACTTTCTAGTTCCAGAAAGGTATTTTTTTCTTTTTTTTCCAGATTTTCTTCATAGACAGTCTTGCCATCTGCAAACACAGTTTCATTTCTTTCTTCCCAGTCCGTGTACCTAGTACTTCCTTTTCTTGTCCCGTTGCACTTGGAATTCCCAGCATGGTTTGGACGGGGCTGGTGAGAGAGGCCCCTTGTCTAGTTCTCAGTCTCGGGTAGGGGCCCCCGTGTGTCACCATCAGGTGCAGTGCCGGCTGCAGTATTTCAGGGAGTCCCCCCTGAGTCCTGGTTTGCCCCTCCCCAGACTGCACGCCAGAGGACTCTGTTATGGATAAAGCTCTGGGCAGATTTCGATTGGATTTGTCTTCCTCACCCCCTGGCAGAAACATAAGGGAGTTTTCTTTGCTTTTCACCAGGAGAACTTGGTGGGGCTCCTGGTGGTAAAATCCACGAGAGAGTGAGGTCCCTCAAGGCCCGAGGCCCAAGGAGTTTCTCTGTCTGCATCTAGCCTGTGCTCAGCCTCCAGCAAGGCATCCCCACTGCCATGTAGGGGTTCCTGCCCGTCTGCGCCCGCTCCGGCCCCACTCCGGCCCCACTCCGGCCAGCGGACCCTGCCATGGCTCTGCTGTCGCTCCAGGTTTGGGGGCAGCGGCCGGCCCTGAGGCCTCGGTTCTGAACTCGCTGGCTCTCCGTTATACTCAGCTTTTTCTTGTTGGAGCGGGCATCGTGACCGCCAAGCGCCTTAAGATCTGAGGTGAGGGGTCATCTAAAGCTTTTAACTTTTTTGAAAAATCAGAATCCATGAAAGTTTTCCCAAGTTTCTTTAATCTGCTCCCCCCACTCTAAGAATCCTTTTCTTCGGACTGGATGGTGTGCTGTCTCGTCGGAGAGTTTCGGAGTTCTGTGTCCCTCTGGACACAGGTGTCTGATCAGCCCACGCCTTGTCTGTTCATTTTATTAAATGTTTTCAAAAGTGAGAAAATTTTCATTTTGATGAAGTCTGATTTCTCTGATTTTTCTTTTAGGGGTCATGGTTTTGTTTCGTATCTGCGAAATCTCCGACAACCTCAAGGTCACAAAGCTTCTCCCCCAGGAGTTTACAGGGTTTGGATTCACATGCAGATCGATGACCCATTTTGAATTAATTTGGGGTACGGTGCGAGGTTTATTTTTTCCATATGGATGTTCCAACACCATTTTAAAAAACTGTCTTTTTTTTGAGATGCTTTAAAAAACTTTAATTTTTAAAATTATCATGGAGTGATAATTGACTTATTTTTTCCATCAATGTACAGGTCTATGAATTTTAAAACATGTGTATATTCATGTCACCACCACTGCTACTAGGGTGCCAAACAGTTCCATCACCCCAAAAACTCTCTTACGCGAACACAGTCCCCAACCACATCCCCTACTCTGTTCTCCCATCACTGCTGTGTCTTCCGGAGAATGTTGTATAAATGGAGTCACACAGAATGCAGCCTTTGCAGATTAGTTCTTTCACTCGGCGTAATGCCTTTGCGAGGCACCTAAGTCTCTGCATGCTTCGGTTGCTAAACAGATTTCCGTGGTGTGGACGGACCACATCCTGTCTGACCACCCGCCTGCTGAAAGACACGTGAATCGCTTCCATTTGGAGGCAATTATGAGTAGAGCTGCTCTCAACGTACGCACATCAGTTTCCCTCGGCGCAGCTTCCATTCCTCCAGGGCAGACGTCCCGCGGTGGGGCTGCTGAGTCAGGTGGAGGTGCACGCTTCACTTCCCGAGAAATTCCCAAGCCCACTTCCAGAGCAGCTGTGCCTTTCGCATTTTCACAAACTGTGGAGGAGGGTTCCAGTCCCTCCATCTCCTCAGCAACACTCGATACTGTCAGGGTTTTGTGGTGGTTTTGCATCGTAACCTTTGTAACGTGTGTAGCGGCATCTTTTACCATTTTCAGATTGGTTGCTCGATTTCTTACCACCGAGTTTTGAGAATTCTTAATGTGTCCTGGAGACAAGTCCCACGTCAGGTATGTGGCTGGTGAGTGTCTCCGTGTCTGGCTGGTCTTCATTTTCTTGACAGAGCAGGGGTTTTTCACGGTAATGAAGTTCAGTGCTGTTTCTTTTCTTTTGTGGGCAGAGCTTTTGGTGGCACGTCTGACAACACTTGTCCTAGCTTTTCATCTTGGGGACTTCCTTGTCTACTGTCTTCCAGAAGGTGTGTGGATTTAGGTTTTACATAACATTCTGAGTTACTTTTTGTATAAAGTATAAGGTTTAGGTTGATGTTCATTTTTAAAAACATACCTATGAAGACGTAACAATCAATTAACATATCAACTAAAACACGTCAATGTTACTTGTGGGAAAGGCCACCCTTTCTCCACTGGCTGCTTTTACACCTTTGTAAAAAAACCAGTTGGCTGTACTTGTGTGGGTCTGTTTCTGGATTCTCTTGGTTGATCCACACTGTCCCTTCGCCACCCCACACTGTCCTGATCGCTGTAGCTTTTTAGTAATTTTAAACTGGGTATTGTGATTTTTCCGACTTTATTCTTCAGTTTCAAGTTTGTCCTAGCATTTCTAGGTCCTTTATTTTTCACGTAACTTTTAGAATCAGGTAGCTGATACGTCAGGACGCTCGACTGAGGTCATGCTGAATCTACAGGTCAGTCTGGGGAGGGAGGTCATCTTAACAAATGCCGAACCTCCCGGTCACGAACATGACGTAGCTCCTCGTTTCACGTAGGTCTTCTTTGATTTCTCTTATCCGTGTTTGTAACTTTCAGCATGTTGACGCCTCTTATTTTTTGACTTTTACCTACGTAGTTCACATTTTGCCATTATAAATGGCAGTTTTTTAAACTCAGATTTTCAACTGTTTATTGCTAGTGTATAGAGGTGAAATTAGCGTTTGTATATTGCTCTGGTATTAACTCAGTTAATTCTAGTAGCTTTGGGGTATATTCTAGACTTGCTACCGACACAGCTCTGCTTTTCTTCCGCTCTGGTCTGGGGCCGTCGCTCTCTTTGCTTCGCCTCGTTGCTCGGGTTAGAACCTCCAGCACCACGTTGAGGAGGGGTGACAGACGGCAGGGGTGAGCTTGTCTTGCTCTGGGTCTTAAGGGCTAAGCACCCACTTTCTGCCATTAAGTATGATGTTAGCTATAGATTCATTGTAGACATCCTTTATCAGGTTAAGGAAGTGGTCTTCTATTTAAAGTTTTGATTAGCCATGGATTTTGGACTTCTGTTAATGTTTTTCCTACATCCATAGAAACAATAACATGATTTTTCTCTTATTAGTTTAATTTAGTGAATTACATTGATTTTTGAACCAACCTTGCATTCCTGGGATAAACCAAATTTGGTCATGAGGTATTAACCTTTTTACACACTACTAGATCCAATTTGGTAAAATGTTACTGAGGATGCTTGTTTCTATGTTGATGAAGAATACTGGACTGCAGTTTTATTTTCTTGTAGCATCTTTGTCTGGTTTTGGTATGGAGTAAAGCTGACACATGAAATGACCGGAGATTGCCTGGGCGTGAGGCTGGCAGTACAGGGCTGGCACTGCCAAGGGCGCCTGGGGCTGTTCAGACAGGCGCCAGGTACTGAGGGAAGCAGGTGGACGCTCCCACGATACACACCCTCTGTACCTCCCACCCCTCGCGGTGCTCCCCTCTCTGCTTTGCTGCGGGGAGGTGTGTGCTATCTCCAGACAGTGCTGGACACTTGGCCCTGTGGCCATTTAAGGCCCCAGCAAACACCCAGAGCACAAATAAAGCCACAGCAGAGCCCCACGCGTCTGGTGCTGCGTAAAGAGCCATGTTTATTTCGTAACTGGACAGAGCCTGAAGCGCACACGCACGCACAGGGGCCTAGAGCCTAACACGCGGGTTTTGGACACTGGGAGCGGGAGTCGCTACGTCGGGTGGCGGTCACGGTGCAGGGGCTGGGGTGTGCCACACAACCACGTATGTACAAGCCACAGGGGAACTCGGGACGGCTGGCATGGGAAGCACGGGCCTGGGAGAAGCTGCAGCCTCTTGTCGCCGGGAGGAGGCCTGGCCCGGCCCCAGGGGCAAAGGAGGGCGCCTCTGGGCCCCTGCTGGGGGGTGCTGATGGAGAGCCAGCATGGCGCCCTGCTCACGCCTGCTGCTCCAGCCACGTTTAGGGATCCTCTCTGAGCACCTTGCCACGCCCGCCTCAGAAGTGCCAAGGGGGGACCAGGATTGAGTGGGGGCCACCTCCCCTGGCAGGGGGGTGTGTGTGTGTGTGTGTGTGCGTGCACGCGCGCGTGCACGCAGTGTCAGGGAACCAGAGCAGGGAGACCTTGAACTTATGAGCCTCTCCACACCCACCCCTGGGCACCAGCTGCCCTGGGACCCAGCATCTCCCTCCCTGGGGCTCCTCTCACAGCAGAAGGAGCTCACCCCACCCTGGAGGGGACAGAGAGCCCTCTCCGGCGGGGTGAGAATGGCCGTCCCTCTAACAAAATAAGGCTGCAGCCTGAGCAGCATCTTAACACAGAACAGTCTGAACTGCCTCCCGGGTCTTCCTCTCTGCCCCCAGCCAGGCCTGCCTTCCTTATCTGCACTCCATGACCCTTGGGCCCGCAGGGGCCTCCAGACCAGCCTCCTACATCACAGATGTGGGAACTGAGTCCCAAACCACTTCCCCAGGGCTGACGTGACACCAGGCATGAGAGAGCAGCCTTCCCAATTCATATCGGAATTCTCTCCCCAGCAGCCCCGGGTGTCTGGACTCTGATCCAGGACCCCTCTCCGGAGCGGGCCTGAGAGGAGGAGTGATGAAAGATGGGGTCATCAGGTGGGCCACACCTGGCTCTTAGTCCCTGCCAAGATGGCACCAGGCCACGATGGAACGGCCCCGGGGCCTCCATGGCTGTGGAGGCTCCTGAATTCGGGGCGACTCCCAGAAATCCTCCCGCGGACCCCCTTCCCTCGGCCTTGCCCGACTCAGCAGGTGCCCTGCGGGTTGGCTGGCCCCAGACACCTGCACCCTGGGCGAGAGGGCCTCGGACTCCTCTCCCCCGAGGCCGTGGCCTCAGGCTGGTTGGCCTGAGTGGGCCACAGCAGGGGCCCTGAACCTCCAGTCTCCCTGAGGGAAGGCGGGGCTCTCAGAACCGACTCACGCTAGAAGAGCTCACCTGACCCGTCCCTCCTCCCTGCCCTCAAGGCCTTCAACAAGCCAGAGGAAGTGCTCCTTCCCGACTGTGCTGTCACCCCAGCTCTCTGCGGCTCAGCCTCTACCCCCCGAGGAGCACCTTGCGGGCAGCACAGGCCTCCTGGTTTCCAGACAACGTTTGATTTTAGTCCAGGACATGAGCCCTCATCTGCTCTTGGGGGCCGTGGGGAGGACGGGTCTCGTGGTGTGGCTGCTGTTTTCCTTCGAGCTAAAAAGAGGCCGTGTGTGCCTCTGGGTGCGGGAGCAGGTCACTGAAGACCCCAGGCCCGTGGTTCCTCTGAAAGGTTCACGGCCTGGGCAGGACACGAACCAGACTCGGCCCAGCCTGACACCTGCCTCATCCTGGGCAACCATCAGACGCGGGGTCTGCAGAGGGGACAAAGCGGCTGTCGGCACGAGAAGTCAGAACAAGACAAGGCAACACTCTCAGACACAGGAGGAGAAATCCCCCTTGATGACAGACGACCTCAGTGCTGGCCACCGTCCCCTGAGCCCCTTGCATCTTCTCACCGGACCCACAGAAACTCTCCTCTCCTGGGACCAAGAGGGGAGGTCAGCGGTTTCCTTCCTGGAGCAACTTGGAGCTCACCCCACATCTCACAGCAGCTGGAGACGCTGCACCAAAAGCCCCTCGCGGCCTGGCCCACCTGGACCCCCTGTAAACAGCCCCTGCGCCCAGCTGGCCTGGACACACGACATAGGCCAGTGGAATCCTGACCCTTCTGCCTCCTGGACCCCACAAGGACGGCGCCACAGCCAGGCACCTGTCTGCCTCACCTCCCACACGCGCCCAGGTGAGACGTGGACCCTGCGTCCTGCTAGAAGTAACACGCACCACCCTCTACACTGCTCGGACTTCAGACATCTGCTCCCTGGCGGGCGCACGCGCGCACACACACACACCCCCCGCAGGACCGGGCGGCCCCATCTGCAGCTGGGGAGAAGCCTCAGCTCTGGCCCGGCAGGAGCACCCCCTTGGTGCCAACCAGGAGGCGCCGGCCCGTCCAGGCGCCTCCTCACCGTGGCCTTCCGAGGCGGCTGCCCCGCCCTGCCCGTCCCTAAGAGGCTGGGGAAGTGCGCGTGGGAACGACTTGGGGTGGGTCCAGCTGAACCCTACACGTCTATGGGAAGGCGTTAGAAATAAATGCTTATAAATAGATCACAGTCTTGTAGTTAATTTCTGACTGGACTGTTCCAACGTCACTAGCTAAGGTGTATTAACTATAAGTCTGTCTATGCTTAAAAAAATATTAGAACGGCATCGACGCCCCGGGACCGTGCCCTCCGACTGTTGGGGTTCTCCCGGCTCTTCCCACCCGGGGTGCCTTCTGAAAGAAAGGACAGCAGACGCGGCCTCTGCTGGGAGCGCAACAGGTCGTGTGCAGGTCCCTGGCCAGAGGTGGCTCGTGGGGCCCAGCGCGCCGTCCCCAGGGCGAGGGGCACGCCAGCTGTCGGGAGGGGAGGGGCTGGGTGGGGGGACAACACGAGGAAGACGGGGGTGGGGCCGGGCCTGCTGGCTGTCCCGGGAGGGCTCCACTCAGACCCTCATCTGGGCAGACCTCCTTCTGGAGAGCTTGGACCTGCGGAGGATTGGGAGAGGAGCAGTGGTCAGGGCCGGTGGGCAGCCGGGGTCAGGATGCCGGCACCGGGGCGCTGTGCCGACTCTGGTTCCCTTGTCGCCAGAGAGACTCACTCTCTGTCTCCTGCCCACGTGACTCGGTGGGAGCAGCCCCCCGCCCCGTCCCCAGCCTCCTTCAGTAAGTCACGGAGGCTCCCGGCCGCCGGGGGCCGGGCCGTTGCCCAGCCTGGCTGTGCGCAGGAGCCTCCCCACACGAAGGCCCGCCCTCCCCGGCCGAACGTAAAATCTAGGCGTGCTGGGCTTTACCGGATGGTCCCGGCCAGGAGCGGGTTGAACGCGTACAGCCAGTCGTGCATGTCCTTGTCGCTGTTGGCCTGCAGCAGGATGCCGCGGTGCTCCGTGCACACCGCAAACGTGTTGGGGGTCTGCGAGGGGGGCTGCCGTGAGAGGGGCCAGACCCGCCTCGGCCAGCTCGGTCAGCTCCCCTGGGGCTGGGGCGGGCGGGGCTGGGGCACCAGCGGGGGGAGCACCAGGGACGAAGCAGCGAAAGAGGAGACCCGGGCTGGGTCACACATCCTCACACGTCCAGGGCCACCGCGTGCTCGGGGAGGAGCAGGGCAAAGCCGGAGGACAGGAGGCTGCCTCCTGGGCCCAGGGCACCACGGGCTAGGGGCTCAGGGACCCCCACTGTGGCGTCCCCCAGAGGACGGACTATGTCATTAGCCACCAGAAGGCAGAGGATTTCTGCCCGCCCCAGCCATCGCTGCCCGATGTCACCAGGACTCGGAGCCCTAGGAGTGACTGCGGGACACAAGGGGCAGAGGGACAGTGGGGCTGACCCTTATGTCCCCGCCTGTAAGACAGGACTGGGTGGCCGCAGTGGGCAGTGAGTGGACGTAGGAATCGCACCCTCCCCGGCCCTGCCGGGGCTCTGCGCCCGGGCCAGCCCGCGGCCTGCCAGCCCGCGGCCGAGTCCGCACCTTGAGCATTGCCTGCTGGTCTTCACTGTACTCGACCTGGGCGGTGGAGAGGTTGAGCACAAACCTCTCCACGGAGTCCCTGTCGCTGTTGTACATGTAGGCGTAGGGCCGCCGCACCACCACGAAGCGCTTGGCCCAGCCGGCCGTGTGTGGCTCCAGGAAGTGCAGGTACCCCTTCTTGGACACGATCGGGCTGTGGGGCGGGGGCGCGTCAAAACCGTCTTTCCGCAACTGCCGCCACGTCCCCGTCCCGGCCCACGCCCGGGCTCTGGTCCACCCGACCCTTTATGCCTGCTCATTCTCATCTGCTCCTAGGTTGAGGGAGCGAGGGCCTGCCTGACCCCCTGACGCAGAGTTGTCCCCTGTCCTGGGGCTGGGGGCCTGCCTGTCTCTGCAATGCTCAGAGGGCCCCGTCTGGGGCAGCCCCACGCACCTGACCCGGATCTCCTGGATGTCAGGAACCAGCAGGCGCTGGGGCTCCTTGTCGGCCTCCACGGCTCGGGCTGGGGAGGGGAGCTTCTTAGAATCTGCCTCTGGCAGGGGCTCCGGCTCTGGGCTGGCCGGCCGGGAGCAGGGCTGTGGGGTCCTGGGAAAGCACAGAGAGTCCGTGGCACTCCTGCCGGGGAGCTCCTCGCTGGCCCAGGATCTGCCTCCCCCGGAATTCCCCGACAGCCAGTGTCACCCCTCAGAGCGCTGTGGGCACCTTCCTCCCGTGTCCACCAGGCCCACTTGGAGCTCAGCCCACCGGCTGAGTCCAGGGCTGTGCGGGCGCTGCAGGCAGGGTCCCCGCGGACGTGGCGCGTCCTGCCTCCCCACCCC